ACTTATCTATGCGGTGATCAGGTATTTTTATTTATTTTTTTTTTTTATTTTTATTTTATTTTTTTTTTTTATTTTGGTTTTGTCTTTGGGTTCGTTTTTGTTTTCTTCTTTATTTGTTGGTTCTGTTGCTGCTGCTTTTTTTTTGCTTTTTTTGGTTTTTTTTTTTCTGTTTTCTGCACTTATCTATGCGGTGATCAGGTATTTTTATTTATTTTTTTATTTTTTTATTTTTTTTATTTTGTTTTTTATTGTTTTTTATTTTTTTATTTTTTTTTATTTTGTTTTTTATTTTGTTTTTGTTTTTGTCTTTGGTTTTGTCTTTATTCTTTTTTATTTGTTGCTTCTGTTGGTGCTGCTTTTTCTTTCTCTCTTTTTTTCTTTTTTTTTGTTTTTTTGGTGGTTTTGGTGGTTTTCTTGCTGTAGAGACAATATACATATTTCTTCTTTTGCTGCTGCTGCTGCTGCTGCTGCTACTACTACTACTACTACTGCTGCTGCTGCTGCTGCCGCTGCTGCTGCTGCTGCTGCTGCTGCTGCTGCTGCTGCTGCTGCTGTTAAACTCTAAAAGCTCCCTTCATATGTTATATTACTAACCCCGACTTGTCCAAATTTTATTTATTTTTTTTGTTTTTTTTTTGTTTTTTTTCGTTTTTTCTGCTGCTGCTTCTGCTTCTTCTGCTTCTGCTGCTGCTGCTGCTGCTGCTGCTGCTGTTGCTGCTGCAGGTAGTGGGCCGCAGCGCAGTGGGTCAGTATATAGATTTACTTCTTTCTGGTTGTAGATGTGTTGAGTTAGATTGCTGGGATGGTGCTGATGGTGAGCCTGTTCTTTTTCATGGTGTTGGCGGCTATCAACTAACAGGCAGAATACCATTCCGAGATGTTATACAAGCTTGTAAAGACTATGGTTTTCAGGTATTTATATTTATTTATTTTATTTTATTTTATTTTATTTTATTTATTTTATTTATTTCGTTTTATTCTCGCTGTTTCTGCTGTTGTTTGGTGGTTTTTGGGGGCCTAGATGTGTTTTTTTTATTTTTTTAAACACGTTATACAAGCTTGTAAATATTACGGTTTTCAGGTATTTATATTTATTTATTTTATTTTATTTTATTTTATTTTATTTTATTTTATTTTATTTTATTTTGTTTTAGTTTTATTTATTTTGTTTTTTTTGTTTTTTTTGGGGTTGTTTGGTGGTTTTTGGGGGCCTAGATGTGTTTTTTTTGTTTTTATTTTATATAGAA